ATATATATATATATATATATATATATAAATTTTACTTTCTATATATATATATATATATATAAATTTTACTTTCTATATATATATATATATATATATATATATATATATATATATATATATATATATATATATATATATATTACTTTCTTTGATTTCTGGATTGACCTATTAAAAATTCGCACTTTTGACTAGCATATATTACTTTCTATATGCAACTTTTTAGTTTCTCATAAACTTTAACCGTTAAATTCAGTGGGACTACCATACTAATTACTTTGATTTTTGAAACAATTTTGTTTTGTTTTTGGGATTAAAAACCGGAAAAAAGCTATAATGTGCATAAAATTTATATAATGTAAATATAATTTATGATTTTAAAATTTGCTAAATATCTTTGGCTTACTTTATGGATTTAAGACGTAGTTTTGTTTAATATTGTTCAATTATTCAAATTGTCTTGAAAAACCTTTGGCATCACTTTTTTTGATTGTTTTCTCTTAAGAGTAAATTACACGAATGGCTGGGTAATTTGTGCGTTTGGTGTCTACTTTATTTTTTTAACTTGGAATGTTCGTACTGTTTGTTTTCGTTACGCGCTTGATCTCTATCTTACCTAAAATGATAATTATAACATTTTTTAAATAAATTAAAATAGTATTTTTAGGTAAGATAAATTGAAGTGGAGTGTAGTTGGGGTGTTTTTATTTAAATAAATTAAAAATCAATAGCAAAATAGTCTTTTTAAGTAAAACAAGAACCAAACGCACAACATAAACAAAAAGTAAGGATCTTCCAAATTAAAAACATAAGTTAAGGACCTAAGGCACAAATTACCACAAACTATAGAGACCATTCGTGTTATTTACTTTCTCTTTAAAATAAATAAATAAATAAAATAAAATTCATATTTTCGGAACCACATGCGCCTAGACGCACCCCAACCTCACGCTAAGTGTCAGCTCCTCATCGGCTACGTTTTTATTCCATATATTTTGTTTTTTGACCATAACTATTTTTTCTTTGAAATTTTTTTCTAAAATAACGAAGTTCTTAAAATTTAATTCTCGACAAAATGAGCATAATCATGAAATTTTGAAGAAAAAAAAAATATTTTTTTTTATAAAAAAACCCATCTTTTTTTTTTTTTCAAGAATTATAAAATTTAAGGAACATTTCTACTCACTATTTTAATGACTTTGTAAAAAGATTTTTTTTTAAAATAAGGTGCTTTAGATACCAAACTTGATTTTAAAAGATTAAAAGTATTTTAAAAAACTGTTGAAGGTAATATGATAATCCAAATAGAGATGATTCAAAATATATATGATGATTCAATGTGTTTATGATCCTTAACTTGTTATGATTTAAAAATATTTTGGTTCAAATATTTAAGTATCCTTAATTATTATATTTTTTTATATTTAAAAATTAATTGATTTAAACAAATATAACAATCTAAATGTTGTACTGAACAAAAATTTTATTTAATTCAATATATTATATCCAAATTAATATGATCTAAAAATATATGATGCATAATCTCGTTATGATTCAAATACTATGATTTTTATAATCCAAATATAATATTATTCAAAAAAATATGAATGGAAAATATTATGATCCTTAATATTCTTCGTATTTAAAAATTTATATATAATTGTTAAACATTGAAACTCATACCGATATTTAGTTTAAAAAAACCATAGTATATTTAAGTATGTAGTAAAGATATTAAAAAATAAATAAATATAAACTAACTTTTAAAAAAATAAAAGAAAAAAAAAACGAAAAAACAAATTAGAATCTTTAAAAACGAGCATATATCTATTTTAAAATTTTGAATTTTTTTAACAAAAAAAAAAGCGAAAACAAAAATGATTAAAAAAAACTCATTTAAATGACATTCCATGAACGTTCGTGGCACATGATTATTCCATCGAGTCTGTATAACGTTTCATGCACGTGCGGCGCGTGTGAACGCGTCACAACCAAGTAAATAGGTTTGGCGTTTATGCCATTGAAGAAATGATTAGAAAAAAAATAATCATTGCAATTCTTACCAAATTTTGGGGTCCTACCGGATGCAGAACTTATATATATATACACACACACACGTGAGACGGTATAATTTTGTGAGACCGTGAGACGTAATTCTAGCTACTTATTTAGTAGATAAAAAAAGTTTTAAAATGCAAAATAATTGAAAATTTTTGAATTTTTTTCATATATTATTTTCGGAATTTATATTTTCCAAAAAAAAGCAAAATAAAAATAAAAATAAAAATATATTTTTTACATGTTCTAGTACAAACTTATAATATTCTACATATCTGACAAATTTAGTAGAATATATTCTAACATTCTAAAAATCGCATTAGAATATTTACAATGTAGTATCTATTAGAATTTTTCACGTATTTAAAAATACAGTATTTTTTTTAGGTAATTAAAGTTCCGAAAATAATAATTAAATTTTTTTGGATTTTTCTTTTATTTTGTATTTTAAAATTATTTTTAGATTTGGTTACACGGTCTCACAAAATTAGCATGGTTTCAAATGAAGCTGAACCTATATAAGGTGAGGTTCAATAGAGAATTATAATTAACCAAGGAACCAATCGTGAGCGTCGGAAATAATAACGATCAACGGCCAAGGAAATAGATGTATACTTTTACATTGGACGCACACACACACACACACCAGATTATACCAAAAAATCTACCATTTACAAAAAAAACTCACCACTTTTTTTCGTTTAAAATTTTTTTAGCCTATGTTTTTTATCGAAAAATAAAACAAATATACCGTTGTTCACGATTTTTCGTCCTCTTTCCATAGAGATCTATTATGATATATAACAAACAATTTTTTTTTCGAAAAAAACTCCATTTTCTTTGATGAAAAAAGTAAATGTCTATTTTTTTATAGAAAAAAGTTAATAAATATATCAAAATTCATATTTTTGTACTTTTTAAACATAGATTTATATTAATGTTAGAAAAAACGATATTTCAATTCAGATTCACATTGTGAACATGTTCAGATTCATATTGTAAACCTGTTCAGATTCATATTGTGAACCTCCTCAGATTCACAGTGTGCATAATAATAAGTCAGATTCACTGTATGAATCTGAATTGATCGAAGCATTTTCACATTTTGAATGTTAAAATTTAAAATATTTACACTTTAGATTCACAGTGTGAATCTACACTGATCGATGTTTTTTTTTTTTTTTTTTTTTTTTTTGTGAACCTTCTCATATTCACAGTGTGCATAATAGTAATTCAGATTCTCAATGTAAATCTGAACTGCTCGAGATTTTTCATATCGTGAATGTTAAAAATTGTAATATTTACATTTTAGATTCATGGTGTGAATCTACACTATTCGAAGGTTTTTTTTTTTCTTTTTTTTAATCTGTGTTGATCTTTATTAATAGAGTACAAAAAATTAATATTTTTGGTATATTTAATTTTTTTTTTTGATAAAAATAAACTTAAATATTGAAAAAACTAAGAAAATTAAGTGAGTTTTTTTTTTCGAAAAAAAAGTTTATTTTTTATCTATCATCATAGAATCCTATGGAAAGAAGTCAAAAAATCGTAAACAACGGTATATTTGGTTTTTTTTTTCGATAAGAAACTTGACTTAAAAAAAATTAAATGAAAAAAAAATGAGTTTTGTTATAATCTGATATATGTATGTCCATTTCAAAAATTTACAACCCTTCCTTTGCCGTTGATCGTTTTGAATTCCGACGCTTTGGATTGGTTCATGTTTCCTTATATATATATATATATATATATATATATATATATATATATATATATATATATATATATATATATATATATATATATTCAAACTCATCATACTACGTCGTTTTGTATCATATATATACATTATAATTGTCTAATGTTCTTATAATTCAACTTCTAAATTGATTTCATTCAAAGATTTTTATAAATTTCACATTTATTTTCCTCTTACATAATTTTCATTTTCAACTATAATATATATAGCTTAATTGATATTCGTCAAAAAGATGTGATGTAAGAGGAAGATAATAACGAAATTTTGAAAATCTTGAAAGTAAATCAAGTTAACGATTGAAGTTGAAGAACATTATAATAAATATATCAAACAAAATGATGTATTATTGTGAGTTTGGGTACCTAAGCTTATATACCCTTAAGGGTATATTCACTTTTCCCATATATATATATATATATATATATATATATATATATATATATATATATATATATATATATATATATATATATATATATATATATATATATATATATATATATATATATATATATATATATATATATACTCACAAGCACACCACTACATATGACTTTCTTTCCTAAAATATCTTAAATAACAAACAATGAATAAATAGATACATGGAAAATATAATTCTAAAGGGAAAAAAATCCAAAAACTAAAATATTAAATAAAATGTCAATTATAAATCAACTGTGTAAGAAAAAATAAAATCGGCTAATCGCAATCGTTTAGGGGCTAAAATTGTAACTAACATACTGTTGAGGAGCTTAATTTAAAAGCTTCATAAATAATAATTTTAATATCTGGCTAGTCTAATAATAATAATAATAATAATAATAATAATAATAATATTAATGATAATAATAATAATAATTTAATTATCTTGGTGTCACTTAACTTTCTGAACTAACCTTCTTTAAAGTGATATTACGAAACCCACAAGAAAGTCCCTTGAACGCTCCAAGAAACCTAACCAGCTACCTCTATAAATACACCACAAAACACCCAACTCATCATAACCATACAAAAACACATACACAAAAACACCTAAACATCCACCAAAACCGATACAAGAAAATACACACAAACACCTAAAACGCTCACACGAAACCTGATAAAAACCCATCCACAAGAACACACACAAACACCAGAAATCCCAATTCCCAAGTAAAAACACACACACACACACACACACACAATGGAAGCGCGGAGAAGATCATCGTCGGCAGGAAGCTGCAATAAACACCCGAAACACAGGCAATCACCTGGAATTTGCTCCTTGTGTTTAAGAGAAAGATTATCGAAGATATCAGGCCCTTCATCAGGCGCCGTCATAAACGTTTCTTCATCATCTTCTTCATCTTCTATCTCATCGGTATCTTCTGCTTATTCTTCACATGCCTCTTCTTACACTGCATCTCCCATGCAAAGCTATCGAAATCGACGACAGATCGGTAATTTGGAAGGAAACGGGTATCTTCATTTCTTGAGGAAGAACACTAATGGTTTGTTAAAGAAGAGTAGATCAGTGGCTTTTGTTAGTGATCAAACCAATGTTATGCAAGATCATGAGAAGAAGGTTGGGTTTTGGTCAAAATTGATGGGAACAAAAAGGAATTCTTCGAGAATGATGCATTCAAGAACATTGAGAGAAACGTTTCATTCTTGAGATTGAATTTATTTATTTGTAAATCATAATTTTATTTTATATATTTGTGAGAAAAAAAGAAATCTATTTTTGTTTATATATAAGATTGTCAAACCAAGATCTTACAATTTACGTTTTGTATAATCTTGATTTAAAAGGTGTTTGTGATTGTTTATTTAGGCAAAAAGTACTTGTTAGGAAAAATAGTTTCTTAAAAAAAATGTTTGAATTAATAATCTTTTTAAAGGTTGTTTAATACCAATAAGTCAATAAGCTTTTTTTAAAGTGTTATATATATATATATATATATATATATATATATATATATATATATATATATATATATATATATATATATATATATATATATATATATATATATATATATATATATATATATATATATATATATATATATATATATATATATATATATATATCTTTTGTTGTCGCAAAAACCAATAAATTAAAGACAAAAAAATGCCATCGACAAAAAAATTAAAGACATTCTTACATATTTTTTCATAACATTTATCAACTAATGCCATCAGAAAAGCTCGTAACCAAAATTGCTGTAATCAAAACAATGTAAAAAAAAGTCTAATCTCAATTAATATCCTTTTCGGTTATTGTTAGTACTTAATTATTATCCCGATATTGTGTAAAAATATATAAAAATGTAACCTAAATATATATATATATATATATAAAAATGTAACTTAAAATTAGTTACTAATTCCTAAAATAACAAAAAAAGAATTCAAAAATGTCTTTCTTGAGATCAACAAATACGTTTCTTCCAGATAAAAAACCTTTTGATAATACACATCAATAAACAAATAAACCATCGCAAGAATTTAAGCTTTAAGTTTTTGTATTATTGTTACAATGTGGGATTTAACGACTGTTAATCTCCATCTGTGTTGCTCATTTGGTGTAGCTTTCAGGTTGCAGGGTAATCTTATCTTCTTGAGTCAGAAACTTGGGCACTTGCAGTTGCAAGGTGAATCTTCTTGAATAACCTTGGGACCCAGCTTATGCTTGAAAAATCATGATGTTCATTTTGGAGTATGCTTTGTTTAATTGTTTGGTTGTACTATGTGCATTTAAAGTGGTCGTCTTTTTCATATTTTCCTGAAGGAGCTTTCTCATCACATAAGCTTCAGTAATGGTAGACGTGGCAATCGAAATTTTTAGGCAATGAAACAAAAAGAAAGTAGGACTTGCCCAATCGGAGCAGTAATCGGCGCCGAAGATCGGTTGTCTGGAGCGGACATCAGAGGAGGCTCGTCGGTGTAGGAGATCGAAGAAGGGTCGCAGTTGTTGAAGGAGTGTGGTTGTGGGATCTGTGAACTAAACGGCGTCTGTGAACGAGGGTTAAAGGGGTTTGAGGTTGTATTGGTAATTTTAGCTTTAATAAGCTAAAAGCTCTTCAAAAAGTTAAGTATTTGCAACTTATTAAATTTTGCGTTGTGAGCCTTTTCAAGAAGCCAAATTTAAAAGTACTTTTCTTATATCTAAAACACCATTTTGAACGTATTGGTTTTTTTTTTTTTTTTTTTTTTTTTTTTAAACTAATAAGTCAATAAGTTCTATCAAAATGATTGTCTCCAAATTTGTTTACATAGTGTTGGTTTGTTTTTGTGCAGAACTATTTATAACTTGTTTTAGTTAAAACATTAATGATATGGTCAATTTTATCTGCAACGATCATAATTCTTGTTGATACAAGCCATAAAATTATGGGAAAAAAAACACGATTTTAAACAAAAAAAAAAAAATCATCATCTTTTACATCTGAAGACATAATGTCACAAAGAAGCTAACATGTAAGTCATGATTTATATGCCTAATTTAATATGAAATGATGAAGTTGATATGTTTATATGAGGCTTCGTCAGATGTGCAATGCTCAATTTAGAGTTCGATTGATGAATATTTGAATCTTAAGTTCAAGTTAAATAGATATTTTGAGGTGATACGTGGGTTTTATAGCATTAATAACAAACTATCTATGGTTAAAAAAAAAAATTATAGATATGATAACAATAAATACTCGAGATGCATGATATGATCGGGTAAAATCATAAAATACTAGGCGGGATCCTAAGATTCTAATAGTATAAATTGTTTTAGAACGGTTCATATTGTGATCATGATCATTTTTTCGTTGTAGAATATTAAGATTATAAATTAAGATTGATAACTTACAACAATGGTTATATATATATATATATATATATATATATATATATATATATATATATATATATATATATATATATATTCAGGGCAACTTGACGAGTTGGGAGGTGCCGACTCGTCATGTAGAGTTATGACGGCCGCGTATTTTTTAAGATCTACTCAATGAGTTGGACGCCCCAACTCGACGAGTTGAAGGTTGAATATAAAACCTTAATTTTTAGGGTGTTATACCCTATTTAAGGACCTTATACTCTTTGGGGTGGCCTCCTTATTCGCCCTTCTGTCCAGAAAACCTTAGCTTGTGTATTCTCTCTCACTCTTGAGTGTGTGTCAGCTTAAAGAGTGTCTTTTTGGAGTTACTTGAAGAAGTTTGAAATTAGTGGTGCATAGCTGAAGGGACAAGCTTTAGATCGAAAACTTTCTCTGTTGTTGCAACCATTTTGAGGTATAAAGTCGAAACATTGACCATTTATTACTTAGATCTTCTCCTTAGAAGTTTATTGCCATTTTGGGTTCATTTTCGAGTCATTCTTGGGTTTGATCATTTCTGGAAGTTGCCACTTCATATTTGGGCATCTTGTGGGTTCATTTTCGAGTTATTACTTAGATCTTCTCCTTAGAAGTTTATTGCCATTTTAGGTTCCCTTCATGTTCTAAGCCCTTTGTTAATTCATTTTTGAGTAGTTTGGCCTCTTGGTGTCATGCATGGACGTAAAGTTAGCAACTTTACGTGGTTTTCCAGCTATTGGGTACCAGATCTACATTCTTGGCGTTAAAAGGGATGAAAAAGGGCTGAATGAGTTAAACTAGTAAAACTCGACGAGTTGGATCGGGTTTTTCAGGCTTTTCTAGAAAACTGTTGGAACTCGACGAGTCGTCTGGAGGACTCGGCGAGTTGGCTCGGATTTTTTCTGTTTCTCTGAGTACTAAGGAAACTCGACAAGTTGGCATGTGCACTAGACGAGTTAGGTCTGTTGGGTTATGAGAAAAACATCAATCCTATGGTGCACATGCAACCCCTAGAGCTTTGGCTCTAGGTTTTTCTAATTGTACATGCAATAATAACCCAAAGCTTACAAACCCTAGATCTAGCATATCAAAGTTGAAATCAACATAAATAAACTAGTAAGAATGTTACCTTTGATTGTAGCTTGAAGATCTTGAGCTTATGAGAACCTGGCACCTCAAATGTGATGCCTCCAATGAATTACAAACACCAAAGCAAATTGGAGAATCTAAGAGAGAGAGAGAGGGGGGGGGGAGATGTAATTTTTGGCTCTTGAATCCTTCTAGGGTTGTGGTGGCCGAAATTATGAAGCCAAGGGGTCCTTTATATAGGAGAGCTGCTAGGGTTTCAGTCAAAACCCTAATTAGATTGCGTAGGCCTTAAGCAGTCCACATGATCCTTCCAGAAGGCCTCCTATGGACGATTTTTATGTGGGCTTCCCCATAGAACTCGTCCATCCCTTCTTCAAGGTTCCTCAGCCCATATTGCAACTATCACATAATTATAATATTAGCCCTTTAGTTTAATTAATCTCTTTTGACCACAAAATTAATTCTAAATTAATTCTTGACCAATATTAATTAAATAAATTTGATTTCTCCTTTAATATATTGTTAAGAGAAAAACTTGAGTAACACACAAGAACAAACGTTAGATTAGGTAATATTGCGGAATAAAGTTTAACTTAAAGGATCATAAAGCTCAACAATAATAAGTTAGAGATTAGATAGTTATATAATTAGATAGTTAGATGCGGAAATATAAGGAAATATAAATGACAACAAGTATTATATCAAGTATACACTTAAGTTGATTCTTAACAAGAATTGCAGTCAATCCAAGTTAGTGAGTGATATCAAACTTAGTGATGAAGTCAAGAATGACTTGCTCCGAAGAGAGATTGCGATCAGTTAAGTTTTAGAAGATATATGAAGAGAGTAAGAAGTAAGTAAGATGAGATGTGAGATTCAAGATGCGTAATTTTCATTCAGAAAGAGAACTCTATTTATAGAGTCTCGAAGGTTACAAGTTCTATCTGTTCTAATGTGGCTATGCAAGGCATACTGGACAAAGAGATGTAAAGACAAAAGTTAAACGATAAAACTAAGACTAAGTAGTAAAATAAAGATTGCGGATGCGGTTCTTGATTGCGGTTAGGATGATAATTGCGGATCTGCAGATGGCTTCGGATCTTTCAAGTTCAAGAGGGTCACTTATATGTTTCAACAATTTCCCTCTAAGTGATCTCTTTAACTTCTCATCTGTTGAGCTTTACAAATTTGATCAGCAGCCACCAGAACTTCCTCACTTCAATCAGCCCATTGATTCTTCGAGAGATCTCAAACTTCACTTCCTCAGTTGTGTGTTTAGATATTTGCATCGAAGTCAATGTAACTTTCAGTTGCCTTTGAGTCAGGCGGTGCATGGCTGAGATAAGAACAAAATATTTCACCTTCTTGTTCGCCCTTTTGAATATAACACCTAACTTGAGAAAGTTGGTTGCACCTAAGGATCGTTCTTCATATCCTTCAGTAAATATGGGTACGGGCTCAAGTGCAGGAAGATTGAACTTTTGAGCCAAGGCAGGGTGAATGTCAGCATCCAGTTTCGCAAAGTCACAAACAGTGCTCTTGAGGTATTCGCATGCTCTTTCAAATGGGATCTTCATTTTCGAGTATTTTTTGTATATGAGTTGAAACACTCTAGCAATAAGAAATACCTCTTCAGAATTCATACAAGGAAATTCGGCTTGAGTCCGAATGTAATCACATTCTCTTCTAGTTAGTGTATATTGAATGAACCAAACCTT